GGGGAGCGAGGAAACAAAAGCATGCAGATGAAAATTTACTCTTTGGCGAAGAGCAGATGCAGAGAAAGAAGAGAGTGCCGTTTTGTACTGATAGGAAAGAAGTTTGCCCGTGCATAATGGCATCCTGCAAAATGCATGAGTACTGTGACTACATCGAGGAAAAAGCAGGAGCATCATGATACTGTGTAAATTAAAAAATCTGGGGAAAACTGCAGCGTTGGATCCTCTCCAGTGTTAATTGGCCGTGGTTTAAGCCATTGCATTTAAGGGTATTAGCTCAATAGCAGCTTAACTACAGCATTAGCAATTCTGGCCAGTAGCTATGAAACTGTAGATGAATCTGCACTGCGTAGGTAACCGATCTAGTACTTGTGCCTCGCTGTGCAAAATGTAAAATGAGTATGCCAGATGCTAACAGAAAAAGGGGGAAAGAGGCTCTGTGCTGGCTGACACATTTGAGCTTCCTTATCTAGTAAAAGTGGAGGTGGAATGGAGCTAAGCAAAAGCCAGAGCCTTTGCTGAAGGGGGCGGGGAGAGTGAGCGAAGGGAGCTGGGAGCTGGACTCGATTGGTGTGAAAGGGGAGAGTCCGCAATGGCAGAGGGAAGAATGCGGACGGTTAAACGTGCAGGGGAAACCGCCTGACATAATTCCTCGAAGCGCCGGCCGCGGCAGCTCCTGCGCCAGCTGTGGGAAGCGGATTGAAAGCGACTGGTGGGTTACAAACCCCTGTTGAAAGTGTGAGGGACAGGACAAAACCCAAAATCTTAAAGCTATTAGTTGTTGTAAATTAGGATGCATTCACAAGAAAATAAAAACTGTAGTAACTTAATAGAAGTAAACATTTGAAAGCAATTTCCTAACTTTTTTTAATTAGTGAGCTGTATCCCTGTTAATGCAAATTTTTTTAATCTAAGTCATTGTTGGAAACACATAGCATGCATCTGTGTTTTATTATTGGACTTGATATCTTTATTTTAAGTATTGCTGCTAATGACAGATGTGATAGTTCTTGCTTTATCGAGGTTCAAAATATTCCTCAAGTTAAAACGTACAGGACAGTTACTAGAAAAGAAGAGAAATAGCAATTTTGAAGGTGTTTGGTTTGCAGCCCTCTGAACGGGCCTTAAAAAGGAGAGAATGAAGTATAGCAACTTTAAGCTATAAAGTTGCTAAAATCTTTTTTATTTTACTGATGGTTACGTTACTTGGTCAGTAAACGGTGACTGACAAGCGCACTTAGTTTTTATCCCCGAAGTTGGTAAAATCCTCCCTTCAAGCCATCTAAAGCACCACCAAAATAAATAGATGGGTTTATGGCCCTGTTCGCTCTTCTCCCGACGGCGAGCAGAGTGCGCGGCGCCCGGGCGCGCGCCCTCCCAGCCTTTCGGGAAGGGAGGTCGCTGTCAAGGCCACAGGCGGAAATGTGGCAACCTGAGGTTAATTGCCAGCTCCGTCACTGGGGGTGCCTGCCATCGGATCGCCTCTGCCCTTCGTGCCTTTCGCTCAAGCCGGTGGAACGCTTCAGCCATCGACAGTGGCGACGGGCTCAGAACCCAAGAGCTTTTTTGAAGCTGACAGCAGAGGCAGCTACAGCTGTCATCCCAAACTCCTCATGCACGTCTTTACCCAAGCAGAGATTTTTGGGAGGCGGTGTTGGCGTGGCCTTCTCGCTGCATTTTGCAGGCTTCCAGGCTATTTCGTGTGTCACCGCCACCCCCTCCAAGTCCTCGAGTGCTGCAAAGGAAAGGTCACCTCCTGTCATCAACAAATGAGTCTGGCTTTTGGTCGGGTGGGTTTCTTGGGGGGAGTGGGGGAGAAGTACATTTGTTATTTCTGGTGTGAGCAACCCAGGTAACAATGAAGTACTGTGTGAACTCTGTTGTAACGAGCTCCCAAGTGGAAGATTTTCTCCAGCTTAGTAGACTAATTCCCATACTTCTCTCATTCCTCTGTCCCGGGGTTGAGCTCAAGAGCTCAGTGGTTACCAGTGAAAGTTGTTTGGTTTGCTCCATTTAAAGTTTGAAACAAATACGTTATTGCCTTGAAAAACTGATCAAAACAAAGTCTTTACAGTATGTCCATATGATCAAGAAGATGATCTTTTGATGATTTTTTTAATTTGAAGAACCAAGAACTAATTAAATGTCAGAAGTGGGGCTGAGTTTTAGTTAACGTGACTCAAGGCCTGGGAACGTACATCCTTCTGACGCTTAAAATGAAAATATTTATTACACTAACCAGGTATGGCTGTTAGACCCTCAAATGGGGGCGGAGAAGCGGGCTGATGAACAGAAGAAAAGAGAAGGTAAAGCCTTGGATGAGACAACGTGAGTAAAACACAGGCTTTTGTTCATGGCTACCAAAACCCTGACTAAGACTGTAGGCCCCCACGTTTTCACGCGCTCTCTATTTTTTTCTGCCTGGGCTCATCGTCTGCCTGTTCCTGTGGGAATAGGCCGCAGCATCCCTGTATCTGCTTGTTGTAAAGATTAAGAGCAGTTCGTTCTGAGGAGGATATTGTAATCCTTCCAGCTTCTGTCATCTGTCGTGAGCAAGAGCGCGTCGCAGCCCTCAGCCTTCCTGAACGTGCCAGGAGCCCACAGGCAGGACACGGCACGTACCGTCGGAGGAGGCACTTACCGCTGCAGGGCTCTTTTTCTTCAGACTGGCCGCAGCTCCAAAAATACCCAGCCCGTATATTGTGGTGATCTGTTTAACAGAACCAAAGATTCCCCCGCTCTGTCTTCATGCTCTGAAGAGAACGAAACACATGCTTTGCTTATTTTTTAAACGCCTTGCTTATTTTGTCAAATGCTGTTACAAAAAGCAGTAGATGCACTCTCAGCCAACGTGGCTTCTCTCCCCGGACAAGATCCTCGTCTCTCCTGTTGGTGGGAAATGGCCTGTGATCAGCGCTGGTGGTCACCGTGTGCATTTATCCGAGACTTCTTGGGCTTCAAGCCCACATACACATGCATGACAGGTTTTCAGAGTTCACCTACAAGCTGTACAACCCTGGCTGATATTCACGCTCTCCGTCATCCAGGTCCAGAGTTCTTACCAGCTTTACCTTTGCCAGGTGGCCAAACCCCGTGAGAAATTTTTCCGCACCACCTCGTCTCTGTGACGCTTTGCACAGATGCTGCGGAAATGAGGTGAGAGATCCACCCAGCCCATTTGCCCCTGGCTCTTTCTCCTGAGCAAATTCACAGCCGGGGTGCCCGCAATTCCCGCCAGCAGAACATTTAGGATACGATACTAAAGCAGTTAAAGGGCAGGTAACACCCCCTTCCCTGTCAGGAAACATTCAGG